GGATCCCTTACTTATTCATCTTGTATCGTGCCAGACTTCAGCCCATCTGCACATGAGGCCCATAACATCGGTTATAGGCCTCTTGTGCAGATGGCTTCAGTTCAAGATGAGACCAAACTTTTCTACGGATGTCAGTTTTTCTAAAAACATACTGTAGGATTTTCAAAAATTGTGAATCACAGCAACTACTAGAGGTCATTGAGCATACAGTCATAAATGTGCACAAAAAAAATGAGGTAGGCGGAGGTAATTAAACAAAACAAAACTTTTTGGCAGAATATGTCGTTTCCCATGTGAAGCCCTCGGAAGTGTTTTTCCTTCATTCCAGACAGTTGAACTACATACTTGAAAATTAAGGCAATTGCAAAAAGCCACGGTTTGAGAATGACTGTTGACTAGCTGCTTTTACTTTGACTGGGCATTTATTTCAGATGAACTGTTGTATATGAGCTCTCTCTTTCTCCCTCTGTCTGTCTAACAGAGAGATCAGTGAAGAAAAGTAAGAGCATGAAATGAAGCCAAATGAAATCTGCAGCTTTAATCTATAATAGGCCTGTACAGCTATTGATCTATTCCCTGCATGGCAAATATCCACTCACACACACACACACTCACAGTGTCTATCTCCTTGTTCTGCATATCATTTCATCTTTTCTGCCTAATTTGCCCCACGCCCCCCACTGTCTTCCACAAACACTTAGTCCTCCTCTACCTGGGATGGGCTTGATATTCAGCCGGCATCTCTTTTGTTGTGTTGTAATGTGCTCCATGGCCCATACCCATGGCTCACCTCTACTCCTACCCCTCCACCCCTACCCCCTCCTCTCACTGTTCTTGTTCATCTCACTTGTTCTCCTGCTCTCTCTGCTGTTGTGTTTTACATCCTCGGCCAGATTTTTCTGTCACACAAAAAAAGCGTGGAAGAGCTACTGGTTTGTGTGCATCTGTGCGTGTGTCTGCATGTGTGTGCGTCAGACTTAGGCAACCTTTTGGTGTGTTTAACCTCGCAGAGGGCAAGCTGTAGGGCAGGGGTGATGTCACAAAGGAAACTCTATTTTATTTGTACACACACACACACACACACACACACACACACACACACACACACACGCACAGCCTGCACACTGCCGCCCACCCTCACCATTGTCATGTATAGTGTTGCTAATCCGGCCCTGTCGCTTCAGTATCAAACATAACCTCCTCTTTCACTCCCCGTGTGTGTGTGTTTGTGTGTGTGTGTGTGTGTGTGAGCGCGCACACGCTGGTTTGGTGTGTTAATGGGCTGCTGCAACAGTGTGGTACAATGGGCAGGCTTGCTTGGGATGCTTGTTTAAGTGTCGAGACAGGGAAAGAGGGATTGGAGCAAGGCAGGCCAGTCAAAGGCTTTGATGTTGCTGGGACAGAGGGGAGAACAGCTTGTAGATGACACAAACACACACATTGTAGGAAACTAGTTAATGGTGACAGTTGAGGGTTGTTGTCAGGAGAGACTGCTGCATTGAAGACTTGGGTGTCTGTCTTGACGTTCTCAGTCTCGCCTAGACTTGAACCACCTTACCTGGACCTCGTCCTGTGAGAAGGATGTAGCTTGTGGTCCCCTTATATTCCCTTCAGTGTGTGTCACCCCAGGAGAGCTGGGTGTTCATGGTTCATTAGCCACACGTACACTTCTGTTCTCACTGGTAGAAGGGACAGATTCAGAGCATTCAAACACACATACATACACACACACCGACACCAACATATACACACAATTTCTGTGTTTGTTCTGTTCTGCCAGCTCTGATGAACTGGCACGCAGCCTCCTCCCCTCTCCTCCTCATCTTCTAGTAATCAGGGTACCTATGAGACAGACAGGTAGCATCTGTCGCCTTCTCTCCCCTGATCCTTCCCTCCCTCTGTTTCACTGTTTCCCCCTCTTCCACACCATTGTGTCGAATGTCCCTCAACGATGAAGTGATGTGATAATGTACGAGTAGTCCCGGAGAATGAAAAGAAGTGCAACTCACTGTTTTCTCAAATTTCTCTCTGCTGAATGTTTGGTTTACCACATGTGGAAATGTTTCACGACTCTTGCCGTCCCCTACTGAGGCATCGCATACATTTCTTTCTTTAGTGCCACTGGATTTTCAGAAATGTTTTGCCAAGAGATGGGTTTAAATTGAACAGTTGAAGTCAAGATGGCGGAGGTCTCTCTCTCTCTCTCTCTCTCTCTCTCGCGCGTGCGCGCGCACGTTCGTCCATTCAGCAGCTCGGTGAAGCCGCTGCCATCTGCTTATTCAGCTCCAGACTCCTTCAGATCAGTTGGGCCACGATGAAGCGAGCAGCTCTGATGGTTTGGTTTTGAACAGGGCCTCAAGGTTGATTAGCATATTTTCAGCCAGTTTACAGACAACAGGCCCCCACCCACACTCTCTTCATTCCTCCTCCGTCCTCTCCTCCACCCCCACCCATGTGTTTGATTCCTCGGCCGTGACAAAGAGCTTCACCCTTTATCTGTGTGTGTGTTGGTGAGATGGGGGGCCCTTAGATTAAGGGAAAGCTTCCTGCTCTTTATTTGGGGAGTCCCCCCGGGAGACGCTTTGGGAATGACTTTCGTTGAGTCACTAACGCACACACACACACTCAGACGCACACATACACACCTTTCATCCCTGCCCTTTTTTCATGCTGCCCATTGACAGGGTGCTGGTTGTTGTGTAACACCAACTACGCGTGCACAGACACGCACGTCACACAGAGTCCTGCCAGTCTGTTCACAGTAGGTGAGCACTGCAGAATTTCTGTTCTCTCTATACTAAACTAACCAGAACTAACTACACTAGAATAACTCTCACTGTAATTCTTACATTCTGTGACCGTGAGAACAACACAAATTATCACCAGTTTGTGATTTCTTTCTCCTTTCAAAGGGCTCCCTTTGCTTTTATTTTTTGATGATGCTCCCTTGTTGCACCTTAAAAATGTGTGAGACAATCTGTGTTTCCTGTGAGTATTTTCTTAAACACTGCTTTTTTTAAAAACTGCTTTTATCTTGTTGCTGTTCGGTTTCAGGTTAGTCACTTCACAATGCTTTGCACTTTATTGAAAAATTACTGGACTGACTTTGTCACCAGCCAGTCCTTTTGACAACCAGGAGAACATGTGACTGCTTCAAATAGATATGACTCATAGAGGAAGTAAAATAAAATTCACATTATGAATCCAACAAAGTCAGTTTTTAGAAATTAGTGCCACATGATTGCATCATCAATCCTAGTCTTGGTGGAATGATCTTCTGTGTTAGGTCCTCCTTTCAGAGAGGATGGAGGGAGCCCCTCTTAAAAACAGGATATACATTGTGTATATGGGCTTGTATATGGTGTGTCTATCTCCAAAATATAGATACATTTAAGCTGTTGTGAAAAACTGCCTTGGTTCAAGCCAAGCTAGACCACCATCTAAAGGATATTTAAAGGTTTTCATCTGCCAAAAGTAATCTATCAAGAGTGAGGCTCAAATGATGTTAATACAAAAAAAATCATCTAAATTGTAGTAACAAGCTTTTGCTATGATGGCTACAACATCAAGTTGCTTGCAAAGGGGAATGTGTGTGTGTGTGTGTGTGTGTGTGTGTGTGTGTGTGTGTGTGTGTGTGTGTGTGTGTGTGTGTGTGTGTGTGTGTGTGTGTGTGTGTGTGTGTGTGTGTGTGTGTGTGTGTGTGTGTGTGTGTGTGTGTGTGTGTGTGTGTGTGTGTGTGTGTGTGTGTGTGTGTGTGTGTGTGTGTGTGTTTTGGAGGTGAAGGTCGTGGCAGAAAGAAGCCTCATCCAAACAGCAGCCATTTTAATTTGTTTGACAGGGAAGAGAGGTGATAACCTCCCTCTGCAGCCGAACACCCGGGGGGGGGGGGGGGGGGGTTAGAAAACAAGGAGAGAGTGAGAGAGCGAAAGTGAAGGAAGCAGGGCTGAACAGAATGGTGATAAGGGGGCGGATAGAGAGAGTCAGAAAAAGAAAGAGAGGTGGAAAGGAGAGTGTAATATTTGATTATGGCTCAAGGCTGTATGTTTGTCCAAAGGCTAAAGACTGTCAACCAGCTAATCGTGGGGGTCGATGCGTGGGTGTGTCTGTATGTGTCTGTGAAAGCATGTGAGCCTGTGCGGGACGTTGCTATCAGCACATAATTTATGCTGAGTACACGTGTCTGTGTGTGTTTCTGTGTGCGTGCGAATTTTTGTGTGTACGTTATGATTTCTGGATGTCAGTTACAGTTCTGTGGGCCTGAGGAGAATACAGTGGTCTCCCTCAGGGCGCTGTTAGTGCCACTCTCATACAGATGTGCTGGGCCGCCACTGTGTCAGTTTCAGTGTGTACGTGTGTGTGTGTGTGTGTGTGTGTGTGTGTGTGTGTCCTTCCCTTACAGGAAGCTAAACTTACTCCTCAGGGTTTAGGTTTTCTTAATAGGGTTGGATATTGTCTAGACACTAAAAGAACTGTTGAAAGCAATGAATCCACCTTTGTTGTCTGTCGATTTAGGCTGCTTTAAACAGACATTTGTCATACTGAGCATTGACGCATGTGTAATCCGTACTGTGGATGCACAGTAGGACTAAACTTTGCTGTCAGGAGTGGATAAGAGCACTTTGTAAAAGCATATTTTGTAACAAGTTCTTGTGAATTCCAATTCTTGAACTCTAACTATTCTATTATTTTTTTTTAAATCTTCCCATTTTCATCTGTTTGTTTATTTTTTATTGTGCTTTTGTGTGTGGTTAATAAGAATAGTGTAGCCTAAAGACATTTTCAAGAACGCTGTATGTTGACAAACATGACAACTACAGAACGATAACATAATAATGTTTGCTTGTAAGACTGTGATCAATATCACACGCTAGGTAAATTAAAACAAAAATGTACTTAAAATTGTGCATGAATGAATATATACTATTGAAAATAAATTCAGAAGCTTAAGCAAATAAATTTACTTTAGCAGTATTTCAAAATGCATTTTTCTGTCCTGCCAGATGTTGAAGAAGAAGCCGGCAGCTGGTTGGTTTCTGAAAAGGACAGGGAGGTAGGTGGGAAATTTGTAGCTTTGCAGTATGTCAAATATATCCTGACATTCAGCCACCCTTGTCTTCTGAGGTCTTTTTACAAAATATTTTGTGCTTGTTTGAATTACAGCGATTTTCTGAAAAAGGGGGAAGAAAGTAGATGCGTGTAGCCAAAACACTTTTCTCTAAAATTAATGCAAGTGTTTGGTTAATTAGGGCTGGTTCTCTATAAGGATATACGCCAGGGTAAAATGTAAGAAGTAATATATTATTTCAATATATAACATTTGAGGGTATGGAACACAACACCTGTTTTTCATCTGTCGGAAAGAGTTGGAAAATAGCTTTTCTCTGGTTTTCGCTCAAAGTAAATGATTGATCTGTTTTTGTGTGTTCAAAACATCCAGGTAATTCTTGTAAGTCTCACTATCAGCACACATGATACATTAACTGTGTGTTTCAGGCTCAGATCTATAACAAAGACAAGGGGGCCAGGATAGCGGTGCACCGGTTGTCAAACAGATACTATACTGGCAAGAACGTCCATTGTCGAAACTGCAACAAGACCGGACATCTCTCCAAGAACTGCCCTGAGCCCAAAGTCGGTTCCACTCAGCAACATGGACAGCTTATAAACACTGTTACAAGTAAAAGCACGTAAAACTAACTGTTATGTGAGTATAACTATGTGTGTGTGTTTGCAGAAGTTGTTGTCCTGCTTCCTTTGTGGCACCCCAGGCCACCTGGCCAGTGAATGTCCCAATAAACACTGCAACAACTGCGGCCTGCCTGGGCACCTCTATGATTCCTGCAGCGAGAGAGCGTACTGGCACAAACAGTGCCATCGCTGCAGCATGACGGGGCACTTCTTTGATGTGAGTATAGCATCCTGTTTTATTAGGTTTTAATACCAATAAGAGATGAAGACTCTACATATATGAGTCCAATGCAGGCACATAGAAATAACGCCAGATTTACCTTCATCAGGGCAAACACACCACATGGCCAAAAGTATGTGGACACCCAAACATCACACCTATACATGATTGTTGAGGCCAGTTTATCCCAGAGGTGTTGGATGGGATTGCATTCTGTACAGACCAGTCATTTTCACCAAACCCCAAACTCCGTAAAACATTTTGTATAGAGCTTGTGAATGTGAGCATTGTCGTATTGAGACAGGGAAAGGGCCATCCAAAGTTGGAAGCAGGTTATTATGTTAGAGCCTATAGTGCATGCTGTAGCAATTAGAATACCCATAATTGGAAGTAAGGGGCCAAGTTCAAATGAAATACATAGTACGTATGATGTAGTTAAACACAATTTGAAAGTTATCATAGGACCTGAAAATAAATCAGTGCTCAAAGCAAATTGACTATAAAGTTATGAAGACATAGTGTATCTAGTAAAAAGAAGGGAATGAAGTATTGCAGAGTAAGAAAGTTATGAATCCAATCAACGTTATGCTACTGTACTGTATGAGCAAGTACAGATAATGTATGTGGGGGGCTTTGGCCTAATGTAAACATGATGAAGCATCGACCACCTTTATCGCCCCCCCCATACTTTTTGTCTAATGAGTGACCAGGGGGTCAGCACACGCCGCTGTTCACATTAATTGATACACTTCAGCAATTACAGCTTAGTTATGTCTCTGCCATGCTGCATATTCCAGCTGTGTGTGTGTGTGTGTGTGTGTGTGTGTGTGTGTGTTGGCACCGAAGGGTGAATCTAATGGCCATCAATGACAATTATCCCACCGCAACGTTCATTACCTTGCCCATTTACACTAATGCCATAGAATGGAAAACCCTGTGTAAGAGCCTGCTTGTCTCTCCCCCACCTTGCTCGCTCACTCTCTCTCTCTCTCTCTCTCCCTCTCCGCCAGTCAGTCATGTACTGTGCTCTGTGTAATGGATGAGTAACCAGGTGAACACCAGAGGGAGAGGGGAGACCAGGACACATACCGCCCATTTTTTCGCTCTTTCTTTCCCCCTCGCTGTCTTTTTCGTCCATTCTTTCTCCCCTCTTCCTCCATATCCTCACGCTTTTGCATACTTTCAACAGCAAACAAAGGTGCAAAGTTGCGTGTTATTGTAATTAGCCTTTTCTTGGAATGCATAACTTTTTTTGTTTTTCTCCATACACTCACAAATTATACTGTATGGGTTAGCGTGAGTGTGTTTGAGAGAGAAAGAGAGTCAGGTCTCTGTCCCCTGGGCCTTTCTGTGTCTCTCATTAAAGACAGACGGTTGACGGAGCGCGAGTGTGTCGCTCGACTCGCCTGTCGCCCTCGACAACAACACACTACCCCGGCGGTCTGGAGGGAGAGAGCAAACGGGAGGGAGTAGGGGCGGGTGTGGTGAGGGGTGGTTGAAGAAAAGAAAGCTAGATGAGATGTGGAGGAAGATACAGCTATCGAAATTCATATTTACCCATCTACAATTATTTACAAATCTAAACAGCTCCTCCTGCCTAGCAATCTCTACAGACTGCTTTAAAGGTCAGGATTTGAACAAGGACTTTGGGCCAAATAGTCTCTTTTTTATATGAAAATAATTTGCATATTATGCAAATTAGTATAAGGACTTGTTTAGTGTATGCAAGAGAAAACTAAACATAGTGTTCTTCGCAGAACAGGTTTAAATCTCCCTCTCTCTCGGTCCCTCTCGCTCAGTAGGTGTGTAAGTAGATAAATCTTGTTGCCTGCGGCGACTGCGGCATTTTCAATTTCCCAGTGGGAAGTGGCGGCGGTTGGGAAAGGATGTCGGAACGCTTAAGGAACAGCGTGGCGAAGCACCGGAGATAATGCTTTAGCCACACCGGGACAAAACGACTGACTGCCTTTCTTTACTGACTGTTTGAGTGACTGACTGCATAGGGATAGATGGAAGGGAAACAGGCTGAGAAATCAGGGTGATAAAGGTTTAGCGAGAGACAGAGGAAGAGACTTGAAGAGTCAGACAGCCAAATAAATGGCAACATGATCTGCTTTTCAGTTTCCTTTTGGCCCTTCTCTCAGACCTATGTCAGCATCTGACTAAATACTGTTACTGCTCTTTCTTAAAGTGTCTTTACTAGCCTACTCAGAAGTAAGAGAAACACATATGCTGCAGATTGTTTTTTTCCCTTTCTTTTAAGTCTGTGTTATTCCTTTCCTGTCTGTTTGCCTGTAGATTTGATGACCATATATAGTGTGTTCTTTTCCTCTCCTCAGGCTTGTCCAGAAATCTGGAGACAGTATCACATCACGGTGAGTCTCTTACCACAAAACCAACACTGTCAACCAACTACACTCTACTGCTGTTCACACTTTCACCTGAGCGCTGCTCTGCTTCTTTATGTTTTTCATCAGGTATCGTATTTACGTGAAAAATGTTGAATCTGGGGAGGACACAGCCTGTTGTCTGAGCTCCAATTTTAAATGCTTCTCCTCTAACCGAAGCGGCCTTTCTATTAATTGCAACTCCCTAAATCTCAGATTAATCTCAGTTGAGGGAGGTTGTGAAAGTGATGGGGTTGTAACCGCTGATGTCTTTCCAGGAGTACCTTCGTCTGTCTTACCAGGAACCCCCCCCTTTTCAATTAAAATCGCCTTAAGAGCTTCCTTAATGCTTTCTTTAAGTCGCCTATCACTTCTAGTGATTTCAGTGTCATTACTAGAGGCGACATTCAACGACTGATCCTTAGTAAAACTGTCTAGAAGCTCCTCATAAGGTTTGGCCAAAAAGTCACTTTTCACAGTTCACTGTATACTTACTCAGGATACAGAAAGCTTAAAGGCCTTTCAATTCAAGAACAAGCTTGATCGCAAAGGTTGCATTCAAGAACACTTCACCTCACCTGTGCCAATACAACCCACAAAGTATCCAAACAGTGTAGTATTTAAGTACAGAGTGAAAAACTCAATGCTCCCTCTATCGAAAAAGTTCAGCTTCCAAAATAGCTGATCCTACAACAAACTGATGTAACAAAAGCGCCAAAAGTAGCACACAAGTAGGTTCCCTAGAACTTATCGACTTACCAGTCACAAAATTGTCTTAAGATGCATTCAATAAATAGTAAAACCTAACTACAACGCAAAGCTCCTGCACAAAGACAACTTAAGTATCAACTACAGCGCTAACAAAGCTGCAAACTACTGACAACTGACAACACAAAGCACAGTGAACCAAAGCCACCTTGCAGATTTATCAGTAATAAACCCTAGTCTCTACCTACCAGAAACTGTCTCACGCCTAGCTGTCTTCGGCGAGGCAAAGACGCTGCACAGCACCATCAGTCAAACAAGGCCAACAGCTCTAGACAGCATACCACCAACATAGACTAAGGGCTCCACCCAGGATTACCTCAAAACAAAAAAGGCAAAATAATAGCGTAGTGAGCTAATGGAAGAACTGAGAAAATTGTTTTAGCTGGTTGACTTTGAAGCCTAACTTACAAGGGTTTTCTTCTAAACTCAAGGGTATCTTTGGAAGACTAACTGTTGACCTTACAACCTTGGCTATGTATTTTCCATACCATGAAGTTTAGCCTTATACTAGTTCTCTTTTTCAGTGTGTAGAGTGTACTAACAGTTGGTACTCAAGCTGTGTCAAATTTGGCGAAGTCCCAGTGGACGTAGTAGTTCTGCTCAGAGTCCCAATTAAAATCAGAGAAATGTAAAAGAACAAGGTGGTAGTGGTAGAGGGGGCGACTAAGCCAGCAGCACACTCACCCTGACCCACTTACAACCGGGGATGCTTCTTAAATCTTTTTCATGCAGAACGTGCCTCATCAGAAAATAAATATTTTAAATCTTACTGCGAAATACTATTTTATTAACTGAGGTCTTCTGGAAAATGACACGGGACATTTAAATTATTTACTCAGTGTTTTAATTTATGTATATATATATGTAATATATATGAGTATGGTCCACTTACACGAAGAAACAGTGCGCTGGATTGTGGAGGTTTTGCGTTAGTAGGTATAGATTGCATTTATAAAACCAAACTCTAACCTCTGATAACATTGAGGTGTGGTGGTGATGACCCTCACCTCATTCTCTCCGTATGCTTTATGACGTATCTTTCAGCGTTTATCAAAATCAACCAGGCATTTGAGCAACGTGACAAGGTCTTCTCGAGAATCAGATCATTTGTAGTTTAGCAGGTGGATTTTCCAAAAAGCCACGCAAAAAGAGTTTTTTCTACGAGCGTCAGGAAGGCAAAGGTGTTACATGATCACTCAAAATCAATAAGCCAGTTGTGATTGGTATTGACCTCGCCCTGTAGCAGGTGAGTGAAGCATGGTGGAAAAAAAACATCTAAGAAGATTAAGGGAGTGCCAAGAGTGATGGCAACCTTTTATTTATTTATATATATATATATATATATAAAATATAAAATTTTGGGGGCTTCATTTTCAACCTAAATGCACATGTGACATCCGTGTGTGTGTATTTGTGTTTGTGCAAGAACAATGTGTCAGAGAGTAGAAAACTGTGACAGTCACATGGGCCATATGTCAACTGGGGATGCATTTGCGTGTGTGTGTGTGTGTGTGTGTGTGTGTGTGTGTGTGTGTGTATCCGAAATCTAAAAAGATAACTAGTTTTCTTGGCTGTGTGCGCGTGCCTCTGAGTGAGGGGGTGATATAGACCTCAGCCTAAGAGAAAAGAGCAGCTTGTTTGTCAATTAAAAGACGTGATAAAGCATGAAATGGGCTGCCAACGCCACTCGGGACAAGGGAGTGAGAGAGAGAGAGAGGGAAGAAGAGTGTGTGTTTGCATATATCTTGGCGTGCATTTTGTGTGTGTGTGTTGGGGGAGGTCTGTCACTCTTCTCTATGGAGATTAATTAGCAGGGGCTGTCTAATGAAAAGGCAGCATCGTTAGCGCTAGGGTAGCACGGCGGGAGAGGCGGAGGGAGGAGGAGGAGGAGTACGGAAGAAGGGAGGAAGAAGGAGGGAGTAGGACAGAAGTTCCAGGGGAGACACTGGCAGAGAGGATGGAAGTTTAAGTTTAATTGTTACTCACACGGTGGCAGGGGGGTGGATGATGTATGTTTTACTGTAGAGTTCCGCTTTGGACCACAGATGAGAGGAGAAGATGCTGATGAAAGAGCAGCACAAAGATTCTTTGGTCGCCTCGCAAGATGATGAAACCATTTTTTGTGTGTTTCTGTGTGTGTTTGTGTGTGACGGCATGCTTTAACGGGTGGAGGATTGTGACCCAGGTCTAATTGAAGTATTTAAGCCGTTTTAGCACTGGGAACAGAAGGTCGTTACAGATCTAAACTGGCATGGGGGTTAGGGTCTCGTGCAGACACCAACACACACACATAAACACACTTACACATATGCATACACAGGGCTCCTTCTGTTTAAGACAGCCTCATTTTATTCATGATGCTGCTTATGACCCTGAACTCCCCAATGTGAGAAGGAATGTGTGCGTGTGTGTGCGTGTGTGCGTGTGTGCGCGCGCGCTTTGGGAGATGTGACTCTGTCACCTTCCGCTGGGCTCAGCCAGGTGTGAAAAGGCATTCTGTCAGACCTCCCTGCTACTGGGTCCATTTATCCTTTTTGTGTGTGTGTGTGTGTGTGTGTGTGTGTGTGTGCGCTAGGTCCGTTTATCTTCCGAGAGTGTATGTGTTGTCTGCCTGCACCTGGCCCTCAACTAACAAACTCCTCCAAACCACACAGTATGGACCACAAAGCCCTGGGGTATTTACTGAGAAAGTAAGATACTGACACACATGGACACACAAAACACACACACACACACACACACACACACACCCGCGCGCTTCTACAAATATATATAGAGAGGTAAATAGAGTAAAAAGCTATCCACAACATTTTCATCTTGACTGTGACAGTGGTTCTGAAGACATTATTACACAACAGTGATATTTACACAAAGATTTGCTTCGAAGAACAGGTTTACTTCCACAACTCTTTCTCAGTCTCTCTTTCTCTTTCACCCACACGCCCACGCCCACAGACACCCGGGTTTTACTTCTTTCTTTTGCATACAGCTTTACAGCGTGGGGTCGCTCCTTTTCCTATATACCCCATCCGCCTACCTGCTTCCATCTTTGTGTTTTATTGTGCATGCGAAGTATCATCAGTGTGATTTTTATAGTATTATAACTGTTTTGGGGGGGATTAACATAGTTTGATATACATATTTCAACCAAACAACGTTGTCTATGTGTGTTTCTTTTGGTGTTTTCCTTCCTTTCCCAGACTGCCTTTTGACCAAGCCCAAAAGAACAGGTGTGAACTTGCTACTTTCAGTCTTAAGATGGGTTTATGGTTGAGTCACTTTTGTTATCGCAGCATGGCTATGATCTCGCCTGCACCTCATATACAAATCACATTGCATCATGCCTCTTCTGCTTTGGATTTCTTGATTGAGTGTCAGTGCAAAATGGTGATTATAGAGAGAAGCCATTTTTTAGATTTAGTTCTGTTCTTAAACAATATCTGAGCGCTACTGTAAATGTGACAATGATGTCAAGTTGTCTATGTTAAGCCAGTCAGTAGCAGGAATACAACAGTACACCAAAAGGAAGACTGAAAACTATCACCAAACTGTAGCATAGGGCTTCATCTGACAATTATTTTCATCATCAAAGAATCTGTCAGTTATTTTTGAGATTAATTAACTAATTGTTTGGATATAAAATGTCAGAAATGAGAGGAACAATGCCCATCTCAAGTTCCCAATGCTCAGGGTGACAACTTCAAATTGGTTCAACAAACAGTCCAAGGCTCAAAGGTCTTAAATTTACAATGAAATAAAACCCAGAAAAGCAGCTAATTCTGAGGCTGCTTTGCTTGATAAAAGGCAAAAAAATTATTAATAATAGATTACCAAAATTGGAAAACAGAAATGGGAGACAGTAAAATGGGAAGACAAGAGCGGAGGAGAACAATAAAGGGAGAATGATGGAGGGAGAACGATCAGGAAGTCGAACGACCTGCTGTCCTTACACAGGCTCCGTTAATGCACGTAAAGATCATGCATTAATGTGTGCATTTATGCATACAACACACAAGTCACAGTGACTTTTTCCTCCTGTTAGTGTTATCAGGACCCTGCTGTGCTGGGTTTAGGCCAGAGTGCCACCCTATGGCTGCTGCAGGAAGCGTAGACTCTCTCTCTAGTCAGCAAGGACATTTAAAGTCCTTTTGAATTTTTAAACCTGTGAACGTGGGTCAAGTCCTGATCCATAATTAACTTCCGTGTGCCTTTTTAGTATG